CCACACTAAAATGTGTGTACTCTTTAGTTTTCTCACGTCAATTTTCTTGCTACGTCGTTCATTTTAGCATCAAATTGTGCGCAATGGAATTATCTAAAGGGATATATGCATATAAGGTCACACAGCCCTGCGTGCCAATCACAGCAAACCCAAAAATCAGCCATGCATTCCCGCGAGATTGCAACTGCACTAAAATATCCATACACTTTTAAGTTTTCTCGTGTCAATTCTCGAGTTGCATCGTTCATTTTGGCATCAAATTGTTCGCAATAGAATTCTTTAAAGGAATATATGCCTATAATGTCAAAAAGCCTGACGTGCGACCCACAGCAAACTCGAAAATCTGCCAAGCATTACCCATGGCAGATTTGGCTTCTCCTCCTTCGGGGGATTCAGGGCTGGCAAGGCGGGCCCTCTTCTGCACTCTGTCAAGTCGTCTCGGAGTGGGTTTGCTTAGGCATGGTCGAAACATCCTCATCTCTCAGGTGGATCTCCCGCCTGTTTCCAGTCCCGAAATGGGACTGCACGGACCTCCGGTTCACTCTGGACTTGTCTCGTCTGAACCCGTGGATTTATTGCCCCTCATTTTGGATGACTACTGTCCCAGGTCCGTCTTCTGTTGGAGCCAGGCGCTTGGCTGCTGTCCCTAGACCTCCAGAACGCGTAGTGGCACATCCAAATTCATGCGCGGTTCAGGGACTGGTCTCACCACAAAACCGAGCGTCAAGGTTACCGCTTTCATTGCCTTCCATTTGGCTTGATTCTGGCGCCTTGCATTTTCACTCGCCTTACTCAGGTTGTGTTTACTAGTTGTGTTTACTAGTTGTGTTTTTGCGGGGGTTGAGCTTTGCTCTTTCGGCCCGCCTCTCAACTGTCAATCAACTGTTTACTAACTACTTTTTTTTTTTGTTTTTTTCCCACACCACACACACACACACACCCCAGGAAGCAGCCCGTGACAGCTGACTAACTCCCAGGTACCTATTTACTGCTAGGTAACAGGAGCACTTAAGGTGAAAGAAACTTTGCCCATTTGTTTCTGCCTCGTGCGGGAATCGAACCCGCGCCACAGAATTATGAGTCCTGCGCGCTATCCACCAGGCTACGAGGCCCCTGGAGTAGTGGTGTCCCACCTGTGTCTGTTAGGTGTTTGGGTTCTGGCTTACCTCGACTGGCTGGTTTGGGCTCCCAGCCTTTCCGCGTGTTTGCTTGCCAGGGATTTGGTTCTTTCCCAGCTCACCTGGTTTGGGTTTTTGTTGAACTGGCAGAAGTCCCATCTGGTTCCTTTTCAGGTTTGATCTTGGCTGGGTCTTGTATGGGATGCTCAGACCGCTTCCTTATTTCTTCCTCTGGTGGCTCTGCTTCCAACCCGTTCTCGCAAATTTAATAAGTCAATATTGGCTTATTAAATATGTGCATAGGTGACATACTTAACATAATAGTTTCCCTTGAAAAGCTTCATAGAAAACACCGACCTTACCTAACCTTCTTAGTATGTTAAGATAACCATCTTATTGCTTCGTAATTACAATTATTACCTAACCTATACCTATAATAGGTTAAGTAACAATTGTAATTACGAAGCAATAAGATGCTTATTTTAACATACTAAGTAGGTTAGGTACGGTCGGTGTTTTCTATGAAGCTTTTCAAGGGAAACTATTATGTTTAGTATGTCACCTATGCACGCAACTAATAAGTCAATATTGACTTATTAAATTTGCGAGAACGGGTTGCTGCTTCAGCTGCTTTTCCACCTCCATCTGTTTCCGAGGGGCTCCCGGATAACACAGCGGTTGCTCGAGGGATTATGCGGGAGCCTAAACTTTGCCATGATGGTCTACCGCCGGGTCGGGTGTGGCTTCATCGGGTGTTCTGGTTCCTTTGGAGACATCCCTTTCGCCTCTCTCGCTACTGCTCTCGGCTTCCGGGGGCCTTGCGTCAGTTGCTACATCGCCGGCTTCCTCTTCGGGTTTTTCGGGGTTTAGTGCCTTGGCGCCGACCTGAGCCCTCGTTCGATGTGTTCATGGACGAGTTGTCTCTAGTGGGGATTTGGGACCAGTGCTCACCAGGCCAACCAGGGGCGATGGGTTCCATCCTTCCATCTGGCTCACTGCACGGTGCGGGAGTTCGTGGCTGTGTGGATGTCGCTAAGAGAATTTGGGTCTCTCACGGATTGAAGGTCTGGCTCCATCCGGACTGTTCCCCGGTGGTTCATTGCCTGAACTGTGGGGGTATGAACCTGCGTGCCACTCCAAGCAACAGCCTGGTGGACCAAACACACTCAAGTCAAGCCTGGCCTCGGGCCGGGCTTGGAGTAGAACAACTCCCAGAACCCCTTTCAACCAGACTATCAACCAGGGTTCAATGCGGTCTTTGGCTCTTTGGGGCTGGTCACTTCGGGTGATCGAGTTCTGAGTTTTTGGGGTTTGGCTCTCCTGGCAGTTCACCTTCAGGGGGGGGGGTGCCCAATGTCCAATGTCCTGGCAGACGGCCTATCCAGGTTCATTCCCCTGTTCACGGAATGGATGATTGCCGCCGACTCGTTCCGTTGGCTAAGCCGGATGTTCGGGCCTTTGCGTCGGCGTGGTCGGGGCGTCTCCCGGTATACGTGGCGCCCTTCCCCAACTGCGAGGCTGTCCGGATGGATGTCTTCAGGCAGGATTAGGAGAGGTGGGATTACCTGTACCTCTTCCCCCCGGTTCATCTGTTGCTCCAAGTCCTGGCTCGCTTGGAGATTTACCTGAGAAGAGTAGTCCTCTTGGCCTCTTTGGTTTTTGGAGCTGTTTGCTTGGTGTTCAAACCTGAGGGTCTTCCCGCAGCTCTGCCTCTTTCAGGAGATCGGTCTTGCCCGTTACAAGGCTGGTTGTAACCTTCTCCTCGAGTTTTTGCGTCTGGTCTTTCTGACTCGAGAGTGTCACCATTTGTATGGGGCGCAGGTGGCTTCGTTGTGGCTTCGTCTCCCATCTGCGTGCCTTGTCTTGGCGGCAGTATGAGGTGTCGTGGCGGTCCTTCCAGTTTTCCTAATACTGCGTAGGTGTGTACTTTGGTCTCTGATATGGTTGTTTTGTCCTTGTCGTGGTTGTTTCAGGACCGTCATCTTATGCCAAATACTGTCGCCTCCTATCATGTGGCGCTGGCGGAGCCACTCCAGCTTGCGTTTGGTATTGATGTTACGTTTGCTCTGTTCCGCAAGTTGTCTCGTGCGTTGTTTCACATCCGGCCTGCTCGTGCATCGCCTGAGCCCTCCTGGTCCTTGGACCAAGTGCTCTTTCCTCTCCTCCTTGGTTTGTAGTGGCCCCTTCAGTTCAGGATTGTTTTTCCAAGGCTCTTTTTTTTCCTGCTGGCATTGGCCTCTGGGGAGTCAGGTCATGGAGCTTCATGCTCTCCTCCGGTACAAGGGTTTCTGCTCTTTTGGTCCTGGTGGTAGGTTTGTTCGGTTGCAGCCGTCTCCTCCTTTCCTGGCGAAGAATGAGGCTGCTGCTTTCCGGAGTGGTCCTTGGGTTGTTGATGCTTGGTTGGTCAGGCCGGGGGTGCATCATGTCTTGTGTCTGGTTGCAGCTCTCCGCCGTTATTTGTGTGCTATGGCTTTGGTGGCCGGGGATGCGCTTTGGGTTGATCTGGTTTCCCTTCTTCCCTCTTCCCGGGCTCGGGTCTCTCAGGTCGTTTGCAGGATTATTAACCCTCAAACCGCGCATATCATATATAAATGATATCAGTGACAAAACTGAAACCGCGCACATCATTTATATATGATTTCGTGTCTAGCTCTATAATTTAAACGCCCCGCCTGGGATAGGGGCAGCTATAGTACAGCCACGACTGATAGTTGCCAGATGCCACCTAGAAAAAAAATCCAGGCCAACATTCTTGGGTGTTACAACTTCAGTATTGAGCAAGTCACCAAGGCTGGCGCACGCAGCACGAGCTCACAGCACCACTGTTCAGCTTGTGACCACAGCATCGCCTACAAATACCATAATATAAATGATACTGCTATTATTTAGCAGTGATAGTATTACTGAAGCCCCCTGACTGTGATAAAACTAACCAGGATTCTGATAATAGCAGGATTGTGGTGATGTTTAGCGCTGTGCTCCATGGAGGGAGGAGTAAGGCTGTGGGAGGGAGGGTTGTGGCGTCGTGTGGGGCCATCATTTATTGACTGCACTCACCATACCAGCTTAGATGTACAGTTATGGTGAACAAAACATGTAAATACGTATATATAACGTTTGTGTATAGTGAATAAATACAGAAAGAGTATTGTGGGAGTTGAATGAGGGTGAGTGAGGTGGTGTTGAGGGAGGGAGTGGCAGTGAGTGGCTCACTGGTGTTTGGCGGTCACTCCTCGTTGCTTTTTGACTCACAAGACCAACTTAGTAGTTCGTTATGGTGAACAAAACATGCAGATACTTATATATAACCTGTGTATATAGTGTAACAACAGCAAAACTATTTTTGTTTTATGAACATAATAATTGAATCACTAATATGCGCACCATAATTTTGAGTACAGCGATGGTTCACACATTTTATTATATAAGTATACCGCAATTCACTGTATGGAATAATATTACTGCAAAAAACTAAGAAAAAATCAATCAGACATTGAAATAATTAGGTAATAATATATTTGTGGCAACTGCCGTCTGACAGCTCGGGCGGAGCAGACCTCGTCTGGCGAAGGCTTTGCCAACGCCCCTTTTTTGCCATACTTCCCTACCCTATTGCGGCTAAAATATGCCACCTACGATTTTTTTGTTATTTTTTCCGTGATCAGGGAACAAAAATGAACACTTCTATAACACGAAAGAATTTTTTGGATTTTTTTTTTGTTACGCCCGTGGGTGTTAATTTCATTTGGGCCCCTAGCGGTTTGAGGGTTAATGTAATGTATTCCTAGAGAAAACTTACTATGGTAGCAAAAATTATAAATATTCTTTAATATATTTACAATATTGTCTTAATGTAATATTCTATTTCTTTTTATTCTACAGCGGTCTGTCAGCAGGGAAGATTCATACAGATCAAGGCGCTCCAGTAAGAAAAAGAAGCATCGTTCTCGCTCCCGTTCTCGCTCTAGATCATGTGGCGGGTAAGTCTTGCGAAAATTCAGAATTACTTAGATCATTAAACTGGCAGTTGAAAAAATATTTTCACTAACTATATACTTTATTTATCATCTTTTGTAACAATTTTCTTTTAATGTTCCTTTTAAATATTTATCCATTCTTTAACTTTGTTTTCTCATAAGACTTTAGAGGTAGAAGATGTGAGGATCAGGTGATCACTGAAAAGTTGTGTGTAGACACACATGGAATGTAGATGTGTAGTGAAACTTTACAACTAGAATGTGAGAGTTTAAAGAATAAGAGAAGTTTTGAGGTGTACATTAGCTTGAGTAGTGACATGTGAATGACAAGCATGTGGAGTGAAGGGTATTTATTAAGAAGGTGACAAAGTTAATATGGTGATAGTATTTGTGTATATTGTATGTTTAAAGTTGTTTAATTGGGAAATGTTTGAGGAAATATGTGATGAATGGATCAACTAGATGAACAAATGACTTAAAAAATATATATTTCTGATGATTACTTGTGCTAGCTTGAGTTTAACAAGAGTTTCTAAAACAGTTCCATATCGATTTTTACAATCGACTTGAGAATGGTCCAGGACGGACCGAAACGTCGTCGTCCCTTCAATTTCTAGTGTGTGGTCTGGTCAACATACTTCAGCCACGTTATTGTGACTCATCGCCTGCAGTTCCATATTCTCTTATGTCGCCCACACATGTGACAGAAATATACCATTTTGTAAAGTGCACTAAAACAAGGACATGATTAAATATAGTAATAATAATAAAATAAAGATAAGCAGTGACCCTTTAAACCTGACATAACATCAACAACAAGAGTTCTGTACTAGTATAAGGAAAATGATTGTAAAAAATATGTAAAATCTTCAAAGTATCAATGAAAATGCATTGTAGAACCGCCACTATTGTCTTTGAGGTCACTTGTGAAGAGTTTGTGGTGTTTTCATGCACACCCACACCACACAACACATTGCTTTCTTCACTTTTCAGTTATAATCTTACTTACAAACTTGTGCTCCTGTGTAATTACCTAAGTGTTGTTACCGGATGAGAGCTCCGCTCGTGGTGTCCCGTCTTCCCAGCACACTCTCATATAACACACTGAAACTATTGACCGTTTTGGCTTCCACCACTTTATCATTTAACTTGTTCCAGCTGTCTACCACTATTTGCAAAAGAAAATTTTCTAATACATTTTTGTGCACCTTTGTTTCCTTAGCTTAATACTATGACATTGAGGTTGAGGTTCTAGAGGTTGCCAGTTTCAAGAATTCCTCTTTGTCAGTTTGGTCGATTCTGGTCATTATTTTTAAGTGGTGATTATATCACCTCTTTTTTCTTCTATATTCTAGTTTTGGCATATTTAACACCTCTAGCCTCTCCCTCTCTCCATAACTCTTGTTTTTCAGTTCTGGAACCTATTTTGAAGCATGCATTTGTACCTTTTCCAGTTAATTGATATGCTTCTTCAGATATGGGCACCATACAACTGCTGCATATTCCAATTTTGGTCTCACAAAAGTCATGAACAGTTTTTTTAGTATTTCAGCAGCCATGTAATTAAAAGTGATACTGAAGTTGGAAGGTGCAGCATATGCTCCTCACACAATGTTCTTTGTACCTGGTTGATACCTGGTTGATGGGGTTCTGGGAGTTCTTCTACTCCCCAAGCCCAACCCGAGGCCAGGCTTGACTTGTGAGAGTTTGGTCCACCAGGCTGTTGCTTGGAGCGGCCCGCAGGCCCACATATACCTGGTTGATGGGGTTCTGGGAGTTCTTCTACTCCCCAAGCCCGGCCCGAGGCCAGGCTTGACTTGTGAGAGTTTGGTCCGCCAGGCTGTTGCTTGGAGCGACCCGCAGGCCTACATACCCACCACAGCCCGGTTGGTCCGGCACTCCTTGGAGGAATACATCTAGTTTCCTCTTGAAGATGTCCACGGTTGTTCCGGCAATATTCCTTATGCTTGCTCGGAGGACGTTGAACAACCGTGAACCTCTGATGTTTATACAGTGTGTTTCTCTTGTGACAGTCTACTCTCCAGAACCACCCCTAGCTATCTTTCTTTGTTACAGTTTTTTAAGTTCTTTCCACTTAATTTATACATTGTGTGTGGTCTGTTTTATCTTATTTCACATTCCATAACATGGCATTTATTCACATTGAATTCCATTTGCCACATAGTGCTCCAATTACTTATTTTATCTGGATCTATTTGAAGGGCATCATAATCGTCTAGGTTTCCTATCTTCCCCAGTATCCTAGCGTCATTAGCAAACGTGTACATATAATTCTGTAATCCTTTTGGTTGATCATTTATGTAGATGAGTAACATTACTGGTGCAAGAACTGAACCCTGTGGTACTCCTGTCGGATACATTGCTGTTAATTACTGCTATCGCCTTTCTGTTATTAAGAAAAATTTTCATCCATGTCAGCAGAGCACCTGTTACCCCCTCCTGCATGTTCCAGTTTCCCAAACAACCTCTTGTGTGGGACTCTGTCAAAAGCCTTTTTTAGGTTCAGATACACAGTCAGCCCAACCATGTCTTTCCTGTAGCATCTCTGTGGTTCTTTCATAAAAACTAGGTACGGTAGATTTGTTACACAGGATCATCCTGTTCAAAAACCATGCTGTCTGTCCGTTATTATATCATTACTCTTCAGGTGTTCTACCCATATGGTTTTAACTATTTTCTCTAGTGTTTTGATGATGTCAATGCGTGTTAATGATACATGTCTATAATTTAGAGGGTTTTCTCTGCTATCACTTCTGTAGATTGGAACTATGCTTGCCTTTTCCCCACATATCTGCTAAGATTCCTGTTGACAAATATGTCTGGAATATCAGTTGAAGTGGAACGCTTAGCTCAATTGCACATTCTCTCATTATAATTAGCATGTGTACTCACCTAATTGAGGTGAGTACACCTCACCAGGTGTGTAATTACATAACTGTAGTTACAGGATACATATTCCTGTATGCTTGTGGTGTCCAATCTTCCCAGTACTCTTTGTCATATAACACTGAAACTACTGCCAGTTTTAGCCACCACCACCACTACCTCATTTAACATTTTGACATTGTGATGATGTCCTCAGAGTCATTAAAACAATACAAGTAGGATACAGCACAACATTAACGCCGTCAACAATTAAAATATTTGGAAAAATTCCAGTTATTATCCGATTGTTATGGGACTTGTTTTAAAATGTGTGCCAGTGTCTCCCCATTCTCTGTATACACTATTTGGCATCATGACACTGCTGCATGGGTGGTCACCCACGAAGCATCTTGACACTGCTGCATGGGTGGCCATCCACATGGCATCTTGACACTGCTGCATGGGTGGCCACCCACGCAGCATCTTGACACTGCTGCATGGGTGGTCACCCACACAGCATCTTGACACTGCTGCATGGGTGGCCATCCACACAGCATCTTGACACTGCTGCATGGGTGGCCATCCACATGGCATCTTGACACTGCTGCATGGGTGGCCATCCACATGGCACCTTGACACTGCTGCATGGGTGGCCACCCACGCAGCATCTTGACACTGCTGCATGGGTGGCCATCCACATGGCATCTTGACACTGCTGCATGGGTGGCCACCCACGCAGCATCTTGACACTGCTTCATGGGTGGTCACCCACGCAGCATCTTGACACTGCTGCATGGGTGGTCACCCACGCAGCATCTTGACACTGCTGCATGGGTGGCCACCCACACAGCATCTTGACACTGCTGCATGGGTGGCCACCCACACAGCATCTTGACACTGCTGCATGGGTGGTCACCCACACAGCATCATGACACTGCTGCATGGGTGGCCACCCACACAGCATCTTGACACTGCTGCATGGGTGGCCACCCACACAGCATCTTGACACTGCTGCATGGGTGGCCACCCACGCAGGATCTTGACACTGCTGCATGGGTGGTCACCCACGCAGCATCTTGACACTGCTGCATGGGTGGTCACCCACGCAGCATCTTGACACTGCTGCATGGGTGGTCACCCACACAGCATCTTGACACTGCTGCATGGGTGGTCACCCACACAGCATCATGACAATGCTGCATGGGTGGCCACCCACGCAGCATCTTGACACCCTGCATGGGTGGTCACCCACGCAGCATCTTGACACTGCTGCATGGGTGGTCACCCACACAGCATCTTGACACTGCTGCATGGGTGGTCACCCACACAGCATCTTGACACTGCTGCATGGGTGGCCACCCACACAGCATCATGACACTGCTGCATGGGTGGTCACCCACACAGCATCATGACACTGCTGCATGGGTGGTCACCCACACAGCATCATGACACTGCTGCATGGGTGGTCACCCACACAGCATCATGACACTGCTGCATGGGTGGTCACCCACACAGCATCATGACACTGCTGCATGGGTGGTCACCCACACAGCATCTTGACACTGCTGCATGGGTGGTCACCCACATGGCATCTTGACACTGCTGCATGGGTGGTCACCCACATGGCATCTTGACACTGCTGCATGGGTGGTCACCCACACAGCATCATGACACTGCTGAATGGGTGGTCACCCACACAGCATCATGACACTGCTGCATGGGTGGTCACCCACACAGCATCTTGACACTGCTGCATGGGTGGTCACCCACACAGCATCTTGACACTGCTGCATGGGTGGCCATCCACATGGCATCTTGACACTGCTGCATGGGTGGTCACCCACACAGCATCTTGACACTGCTGCATGGGTGGTCACCCACGCAGCATCTTGACACTGCTGCATGGGTGGTCACCCACACAGCATCATGACACTGCTGCATGGGTGGCCACCCACGCAGCATCTTGACACTGCTGCATGGGTGGCCATCCACACAGCATCTTGACACTGCTGCATGGGTGGCCATCCACGCAGCATCATGACACTGCTGCATGGGTGGTCACCCACGCAGCATCTTGACACTGCTGCATGGGTGGTCACCCACACAGCATCATGACACTGCTGCATGGGTGGTCACCCACATGGGTACCTAATTGTTTTCGTGACCACTCTCGTGGTCAGTCTCGTGACCGACCCTCGAGTCGAAACGTGTGTCCATTCCAGTGGTTTTACCTCGGGTATTTTTTATCACTGCCTTTATAAACACGAAACAACACAAAACGAATGATATAGTGTAACACATAATATCGGGAATCAGTAACGTCTGTAAGCATTGGTGTTTTTTTTTATTTATTTATTTTTTTAACATGACGATGTACTTTATCTTATGGTATTGGTAATGTTGTTGTTCTATTTTACCTTGTACAAGTATTCATAAATTCTGTTAGAGCATTCTGTTGATAACAATTTGATACCAAAATGAACCACGTAACACGGAAATTGAAGTGAGAATATTGTAAAGAATATAAACATTTGAGTGGGGTTGTGCACTCAGAGGCTATGTGCTGCTTACTTTGCGGTGCGCTGCAGGTGACCCGCCGGGCTGCACAGAGTCTTAACTTGGTCCAACCGTCTACCACTGTTGGTAAAACAAAACTTTCTAATATTTTTTTTGTCATCTCTGTTTCTTTAGCTTGAATCTGTGTCCTTAGCTTGAAGTTGCTGATTTCAGGAATTCCTCTTGTCAGTTTGGTTGATTCCTGTTATTATTTTGTAAGCAGTGATCATATCACCTCTTTTTCTTCTATCTACTAGTTTTGGCATATTTAATGCCTCTAGCCTCTCCTAGTAATTCTTGTTTCTCGCTTCTGGAAGCCATTTTATAAGGTTCCTTGTACCTTTTCCAGTTTATTGAGATATGGGCAGTACAGTATTCAACTGCTGTATATTCCAATTTTGGTCTCGCAGAAGTCATGAACAGTTTCTTTAATATTTTACCCTCCAAGTAATTAATATCAAATCTGAAGCGACACATACACTCCTCACAATGTTGTTTGTGTTCCTCTGGTGACAGTTTTGGATAGTTTTCTATCCAAAACCACCTCTAGATCTCGTTCATGTGAGTGTGGGGATTCTGGCGATGTCATGTATGGAACTGTCATGTATGACATCTGGTGATATGTATTATATACTTACAAATATATATTGTTGTTGCTCTGTTTTTAGCAGCAGAATTACAGAGCATAATTCTTTAGCTAAAGGATTAAACAAGTCTTTCAGGTTTTGGACTTGAACATTTTGAAGCAAGCAAGTCACAAAGATGTATAGCTTGTTGTGATATGACTGCAGAAAACTGTCTTAATTATAATGAATTCCAGATAGTAAAATTTGCCGTGGCATCTCCATGAACCTGATTGTGTTGTTCCGGATCAAATCTAGAATTGTAAATACAGTATTCCAAAATGCCGAATATTTGGTAATTTTTAGCTATGTATCATCAAATTGCTTGGAATTTCTTTTTGACAAATGATACAAGACATGTTTCTACATCTTTAGATACACAATATATAATGAGTGATTTTGTTTACATATAAATAAAAGTACCGGTTTTTATGTCATTTATAATAAAACCTTAATTTGTTACCTTGTGTAACATAGGCTGGTCTTGGTTACTATGGCAGCAGAATTTAGTGATACAGTGCAGTATTTTGCTATAAAAAACATTTTTACATCATTCTGTAATTACATATTTTAAAACTTTTTAAAATAAATTTGCAATACAGTATGTACCAAGAATGGACATGAATTTCTCTTGGTTGTGTCAAACACTGGTAAGCATCATCATCCACTACGAACCTTCATCAAATTCCATATATTTTCCGTGGAGAGCCCCTCCGGCCTCCCGGAGCTATACCGGGCTGATGTGTATATATGTATTTGTCAAGCCTGGCCTCAGGCTGAGCTTGGGGAGTAGAACTCCCAGAACCCCATCAAGCAGGTATATATTAGACAGTAGAAACAGTTGGAGTTTTTAGCCTACAGGAGACCACAAGCCAGAACCTGACCCCCCATCAGAGAGGCATGAGGAGCAATGGCCTATAGAAACCCCCATGTTGTTAAGAACAGTCTATGTCTGCCATCTACTAGGTCAGGCACCCAGAATGGTAGGAATCCCAAAACAAACCATAGCTATCTTAAGGTTATCTTGAGATGATTTCGGGGCTTTAGTGTCCCCGCGGCCTGGTCCTCGGCCAGGCCTCCACCCCCAGGAAGTAGCCCGTGACAGCTGACTAACACCCAGGTACCTATTTTACTGCTAGGTAACAGGGGCATAGGGTGAAAGAAACTTTGCCCATTGTTTCTTGCCGGCGCCTGGGATCGAACCCGGGACCACAGGATCACAAGTCCAGTGTGCTGTCGGCTCGGCCGACCGGCTCCCTACCAGCTCCCAGCTGGATAAACTTTGCAAACCGAATTCTGAACGAGCAAACAGAACTCCCAAAACAGAAAATAAGTAAACAAGCATGACGCCACCACAGCCACCGCGCTGCTGTCTGCGCAACTTCCTCCTCCCCGGGAGGGGAAACGTGGGTCCCAGACCCCCCCCCCCCGCGCCGGCTACCCAACTCCCAGGTCTGAGGCTGTTGTGTTGGGTGGCAGTCGATCGTCTCCAATCTTCGAGCAGTGCTGTGCCTTGTGGTGGTGTGCTGCGGTGTGATAGTGTGCGAGCCAGGTGTAATTCCAGACGTACTGGGGCGTTGAGTGGCTCCTCCTCCTTCGGGGTGGGGGGGTTTCGGTGCTGGCAAGGCAGGACTCTTTCCCTGCACTCTGTCGGGTCGTCCTGAAGTGGGTACGCTTGGGCGTTATTTTGAGATGATTTCGGGGCATTTAGTGTCCCGCAGCCCAGTCCTCGACCAGGCCTCCACCCACAGGAAACAGCCCGTGACAACTGACTAACTCACAGGTATCTATTTACTGCTAGGTAACAGGGTCATCAGGGTGAAAGAAACTCTGCCCATTGTTTCTCGCCGGCGCCTGGGATCGAACCCGGGACCACAGGATAGTGTCCAGTGTTCTGTCCGCTCAGCCGCCAGCATGGTCGAAACGACGGCGTTTCGAAATGGTTTTCGGTTTCGAAACCCACCCTAACAGTTGGGTGGGTTCCACCCACCTGTTATATACAGTTCCGAAATGGGACTGTGGGGACCTGAGGTTCGTTCTGGACTTGTCCCGTCTGAACCCCTGGGTCTTTTGCCCCTCCTTTCGGATGACCAGTCTGTCCCAGGTCCGGCTGCCTTTGGAGCTGGGCGGTTGGATGGTGTCCCTGGACCTGAAAGCAAGCCGAGTTATCACAGTCTGATACCACAAAATTATGATATGTTGGCAGTTATGAAGGAAGCTCACATCTTACCCATAGTATACATAACCTGATGTGATGTATATTATTTAATGAGTGTGTTACCTTTTAAGACACATTTATTCATTATCTAAATGAAAAATTATCCTAGAAATTTGAAAGGAATGTTCCTTTCAACATCCGGTTGTTCAACATCCTCCCAGCGAGCATAAGAAATATTGCCGGAACAACCGTGCACATCTTCAAGAGAAAACTAGATCATTTCTCCGAAGAGTGCCGGACCAAACAGGTTGTGGTGGATATGTGGGCCTGAAACATACTTCACATACAATATGTGGGCTCAACACCTCATTCACCCACATTCTCCTCCCACCATACTGTTTTTGCTTTTATTCACTATATA